CCTTCTTTGCCAGTTCGTCCTTGTGATGCTTATGCTCATCCTGGTGTCTGAACTTAGGGATCAAGGTTAACAATGGGCTCATTACTTCTGATCACAAACTAGAAATTCAATCTGGGGTAGTAAACTGTCCACCTGGCCATGGGAATTTGAGCCCCAATAACTTCTTCGCACACTGCACTCGACCCCATAACCCCGGCAACCAGCACCAGCATCCCCAGGTGGAGATTTTGGGTACCCCTATTTATGGGCTACATGTTAGGTATGTATGTGTGTGTATGGTATTTCACAGCGGTCAAACGAGTGAAATTTGCAAAAGTTAAGCGAAATACTTCAAAGTTAAGGTTGCTACTTTCACTATCGAAAGTTTAGGGTATTTCCAACATCCTGTTAGTTTACTAAACTTTTTAAAAGTTTACTAAAAAAGTTCTAAGTGATTGAAAACTGATGCTGACGTTATTATCAGCGCCATTTTCAAACATGATTCTCTTTTAGCGCAAAGCGTTTTCAGCGAAAAAAGCTCAAAATTTTGAGAAAAATGGAAAGATAGTTATGTTGACTAACTGATTTATCAATCTTTGCCCATTTTTCTCTAACTGGTAAATGAAATCCCAGCAATAAAAAACAAAAATAACGATTTAGATGTTTGACCGCGGTGGTGTATGGTATAGGCTAAGAGCATTCCTCAAGTACCCCCACCCCCTTGGTCCCACTTGCATTGGTATTTAATCAAGGAAAACCCCGTTGACAAAGCAGAAGTAAGCTTGAAAAGATAGCCAATGTGGGGAAGGAATGTGTAACAAAGCCCTAAGAATGTCTGCATTGGAGGCTTAAAAATAGAAGCCTGCATAGCGATTGTTTCCAATCAAGTTATTGCACAAAAGTTTGAGAGAGCATTCCTCTTTTTTGCTCTCATCCCAACTGTCTTGACAAACTCACATAGAAACACTTGGAACAGGACACAGGCTAACAAAAAAGCTGCTACACAGACAATCAAGTGGTAGAAAAGGATTTTATTCATTGGCTTATTATGCTCAAATGTGAACTGTATTATTTATTGGTATTTACAAACAAGATGATTATTGGCTTTTTTGGGGGGGACAACTCTAGTTTTCAGCATTACACCAGAAATTTGTGACAGTCGGAACACTGCTTGTGGTATATGCTCATAGAAAGTTGTAAGAGACATAAACCTACAGAAAGCTTCCTAGAATTCCCAGCAATGAGGGAGGTCTTATTTTCACATCTATATACACGTATACAAAGTAATCTTGTCATGATTTTGCAGTTTCACATTTCTTGGTAAGGTTGCCAACCTTTTTCTGCACTTCATTGTTCTTCATCTTGGACTTGAGGCAAACCAAAAAGAGCTGTCTCTCTTTAAAGAGTTCTGTAAGAATTGACCATTTCCGAGCTGCTCCAAGCCTCAGTTACAATGCGAAGATAAGTGAGAAGCTATTAACATGAAAACGATTTCTATTCTCATGCAAATAAATCTCATTTTCACAAGAAAGATTTTGCACTTTGCCTCATTTTGAAACTGAGAGTTAATGAACTCAGAAATGGCCTATAGCATGATGTGCTACTGGTTTGCACTTTCACAAGCATCTATCCAGTCACTGTAAACATCAACAGGTTCTGAAAGATCTGCAACTAGTTAAGGAAAGTTCAAGTGAAATCAAGCAGTTTTTAAGTGGCACATAATTATGTCAGAAAGATGCCACATGTTACCTAGAAACTTCTGATCTGATCTTGGTATATCTTAGAAGTCTCAAACTTTTACTTTGAACCAGGCTCAGAGTCTTGAACTTGTTGCTTCAATGTCTCATTTTCAGACAAGGGTCGCGCCACCAATGATCGTTGCTAATTTAACACTTTATCATTCACCACCACTAATTTTGCAAACACCTTTTAAGTGCTGCCTAAATAAACTCTATCATCATACATTTTCATAATGGGCTACATTTCATATCATTCAATAGCCTGTGAAAACAGCCATTTCTTCTCGCTCCTCACCACTGAGGACGTTTCGTGAGGAAAAAGGTCTGCGATTCAGCAACAGAAATTCCATACTGATGATATAAAATCTGCCCAGAATCCAGTCATAAGCACTGATTGGACAACAGAGTAGCTAAATCGTTCTAAATCGTGCGAATGACAGACAAAAGACAAAAGGCCACAACAGTCAAATGTTTAATTTAATAAAACTTTTACAAGTGCAGCCATTGTTGTAGAGTCTGAAAACAATAGCTACACTTGTAAATTACACATGTAAAAGTTTTATTACACTGACCCCAGGTTTGACTCTTGGGACTGCACCAGTATATATGCGTTATTGACCAAGCCTGAGGTTAAGATAACTGGATATATTGGTTAAGTACTTTTCTGGCATTTTTATGGACCGAGATGAAGTCAAGTTCAACATACAACTGTAATCACAAAACAGAACAAGGCCAATATCTAGCCATTTCGACCGAACAAGTTGAAGTCGTTGCTTTGCTAATATAAATCTATTGTTTTTTTTTTTGCTGTTCTCGTTGCTGTTGCCATCGTCATTTCTTGAAAGCTCCCTAACACCAGAGGAGTGGAGGCACTGTTTATGTCCTGCAAACAGCTGGACCTTACAGTTACTCAGATAACCATCCACAAAATCAAAAATACAATGTACCATCCCATCTTTAGAGGAAGATATAACAACAGTGTCCTCAATTAGCCCTTTCGTACTAATTTCTTCTTCTTCTATTGTTTTCTAAAGGATACATGTAATGGATGTCTGATAATCTTCCAAACAAACTCGACATGATATATGCCCTGTATTTCTAACCCGATCCCTGAAAATACAACACCAAAACAGTCAAATGTTAATCTTTAAGGGTAAGCTAACACTGTGTTCTTAGTGGTAAAATAAGGTAAAATAGAGGATGTATGAAAAAACAATTACAATCAATTCCACAATTACTTTCGGTGCAGCTAAAAATAAAAATTCAAGTCCTTTGACAAGCAATAAATTTCAGTTCTTCGAGAACATCGCAGCGCAATATAAAGAAGCACAATATTGAACGTTTTTAGTTAAATTTCAAGAAATATTTAAGCACGTACGCCATGCGTGCGTTTGTTTTGACTGCTCAAGACCAGAGGACTTACATTTTAACTTCACATGACTTCTCGTGGTTGCAAAAAGGACAGTTGAATTGTTTATCCAGGGGATCTGCCCTTCTTTTAGGTGCTGGCTTTCTTTTAGATCTTCTTCTTCCCATTTTAAACACGTGCGAAGCTTCACAAGCTGCAACGAATTTTAGTTCCCGTGTTGTAAAACCCACGCTGTAGCTTTGTAACCGCGTGTCGAGTTACAGGCGTGGCTACGAAGACACTACTACCACAGGCAGGCCACCCTCCAATATCCTGTTCTGGCGGAGCCCTCAACTAGCCTGCGAACGCTTAGACTGCAAAACAGTCGGGTTTTTTCTCAAAATCAGTAAAGAAATCGGTAAAGCGTGGCGTAAGAGTCTTACCGTCTCTCCCCAGTCTCGCTCTGTGTTTTCAGCTTCTTTCCAGACCTTTTGTTTGACTGCTCGCGCGTACTTGAATACGCAAAAATACGGACTGTTTTGCAGTCTAGCGAACGCTTCTCTCCTCGCTTCTCTCCACGCTTCCACCCGAAAAGTAACTTTTCGAGTGGAGAGAAGCGTCGCAGGCTACTGTATATTTATCGGGAAAAGGAAATCATTATTACATCCAAACACGGCACAACAATTTTTTCCCCATCAATTACACTCTTTTTCTAGGAAAACTTAAAGAAAAATTGGCCCGAAAAGCGCGCCTGAATACTGCGCGAGTATATCGGATCGTGCTCATGCCCCCCCCCCCCGGGCATCCCATAATACTCCTTAAATCTGAGTCAGGAGATTCAATATGGCCGAAGTATCGGTAAAAAGGTCTATTTACCAACTATAATCCATTGTATATTACGATGGCTCGTGATCAGGGATTATTTTTGAGGTACTGCTTACAGTTTGAAGAATTTCTCAACGGTACACCATGGTGATCAGTTTATCTGCAAAAGAATTTAGTGGGTTGTTACTTTTTACGAATATGGACCACAGTTGGTAGGGGTAGTATTGATGAAAAGAGACGATTTTTATCAGGCATGAACTGACTTACAAGCGAGAACCAGACTCAAACAATAACTCTGGGGCTAGAGAAATGATTGTTATTGTTGCACTTATTTTTAACCAGCTAACTCTGAAATCCTGATGCAAGTGGATGACGTAATATATCAAGCATGAGACGCAGTGTTTCATCACCAGATGAAACACTGAGAAGAGAGATGAAAATAAGACACGGAGCGAAGTATTTTTGACGAACTTCGAGGTGTTTCATCTGGTGATGAAACACTGTGTCGAATGCTTGATATTACTTCCCAAACAAAATGATTTTAGACAGAGAAATTAAGGATGTAAAAATGAGCAGTTTTTCATCCAATTTCCAAACACTCATTAGACATTAATTTCTTTTGTATTTTCTTTATGAATTATTATGAGTTTGAGAAATCTCATTTATAAACCCGGAAGAAATTTAAGACGGACAACGGTTCAGACCACTCTTGACATTCGAAAATGTTTGAGATCGACTATTTGGGAACACGCAAATTGAGTGATTAATATAAAGCAGGGTATCGAAGCCTTGCCTCCCTACTCTAGAAACCAAGCCGAATCTTAACGTTCCTAAGATGTTCTCTCGCAATTGTATGTTGAATGTTTTCATATAAAAATCTCACACCACCAGAAAATGCACAGCACATGTGTAGAGCGTTTCACTCACATAACCAGCAAAGAAAGCGTTTACATAAGAAAAGAGTTCAACTTCCACGGGACTGGTTTTGGACACCAACATGGTGGACTTGACGTCATGTGAACAGGCTTTATGGTAATGTTTACTGAGACAACATTTTAATACTGCACTTTGATGCATTCCTTATGGTAATTTCTCCTTACTGATCACGTTGAAAGTACGATACGTGGTGGAAAATGATGTTTATACTGTCATTCAGTCTGAGATGAAAGCTGTATCTGAAACAGATATTTGTTATAGTTTGGAGTCAAAAAATCTTTTATTANACCAGCTAACTCTGAAATCCTGATGCAAGTGGATGACGTAATATATCAAGCATGAGACGCAGTGTTTCATCACCAGATGAAACACTGAGAAGAGAGATGAAAATAAGACACGGAGCGAAGTATTTTTGACGAACTTCGAGGTGTTTCATCTGGTGATGAAACACTGTGTCGAATGCTTGATATTACTTCCCAAACAAAATGATTTTAGACAGAGAAATTAAGGATGTAAAAATGAGCAGTTTTTCATCCAATTTCCAAACACTCATTAGACATTAATTTCTTTTGTATTTTCTTTATGAATTATTATGAGTTTGAGAAATCTCATTTATAAACCCGGAAGAAATTTAAGACGGACAACGGTTCAGACCACTCTTGACATTCGAAAATGTTTGAGATCGACTATTTGGGAACACGCAAATTGAGTGATTAATATAAAGCAGGGTATCGAAGCCTTGCCTCCCTACTCTAGAAACCAAGCCGAATCTTAACGTTCCTAAGATGTTCTCTCGCAATTGTATGTTGAATGTTTTCATATAAAAATCTCACACCACCAGAAAATGCACAGCACATGTGTAGAGCGTTTCACTCACATAACCAGCAAAGAAAGCGTTTACATAAGAAAAGAGTTCAACTTCCACGGGACTGGTTTTGGACACCAACATGGTGGACTTGACGTCATGTGAACAGGCTTTATGGTAATGTTTACTGAGACAACATTTTAATACTGCACTTTGATGCATTCCTTATGGTAATTTCTCCTTACTGATCACGTTGAAAGTACGATACGTGGTGGAAAATGATGTTTATACTGTCATTCAGTCTGAGATGAAAGCTGTATCTGAAACAGATATTTGTTATAGTTTGGAGTCAAAAAATCTTTTATTAACTTCCGTCGATCGTTGGTGTTAAATTGTTCGCCTCTTGACCGGCGTTTCGTTGGCCACTAATAACTGTTACCCATCAAAAATATAACAAAAACTAACCAGTTGTAAGAACCATAATGTACAACACGCCAGCTTACCCCGACGGGAAAATTTTTGCTCAGTAGGTTTCATTTAATACGCATATTCTAGTTTTAACTCTCAACACTCGAAAGTAGAAGCCATTGTAACACAGAAGTAGAGTAATGGAAAATGCTCCTCGACAATTTTCGGATGATGGTATCACTTTTCAGTTATAGAATACCACCCACAAACTCGAAACGAGTAACGAAACCATCTGTTAGGGACCCTATCTAGCACTGCAAGCTGAAAGTATTGCTCAGATGGAGTATCCTTTCAAACACAGTTGGGGAAGTTGCTGGTGAGAACGTCGGAAAGAAAGAAAAACATATTCCGCAAGGTAAGTCAGTGATGAAAAAGGTTTTTATCACCATGTTCAATAAAAGGATAGGATTCACTTGATGTATGAAATGTCGCGAAAAAATGTACCTACAAAGCTAGGTTTCAGATCATCTTTAACGTTAACTACCATTATCGAGGGATTTATTTCCTTGAAAGAAGTG